TTATTTAAACGTTATAAAACCCGTGTTCGCTCTGATAAAAAGAAACTCGCTTCTGAGACATAATGTGCCTTTAGCATTCAGTACAGACCCGGCATTAAGGGTGGAACCGTAGCGTGACATAGTATTTTAAGGGGTGAATCGAGTTCAGAAAATATATGCTGTATTTCTCACTAAAATCTTCTTTGAATGACATTAAAAATATTTATCCGTTTTATAATAATCATGTAAACTTATCCGTTTGATAATAGTCATGTAAATTCCATCAATACTTTAAGTACTTTGATTTCATTTGTGACGTCAAAGCGCGCACTGGCTAGACTGTGTCTCGCGTGAATTATTGTCTACGACAAAGGCTGCGACGTCGCAGAAACACAACGTCTGCGACACGTTTCATAAAACGGTCGTACGACATTGTCGCAGACGTACGACACCGACAAAAAATTGTCGTAGACTACGACACGTCTTTGGCCGAAGAGTCGCCAGAGAGATATATATATAACATATAGCAAGATGTGCAAAATAAGGGATTTAGGGGACATCTAAGCTAATTGCACTTCTATTGTCTTTATCTATAGTTATGAAAATAACATCTTGTACATGTATTGAATGTGAAATTGCACGAAGTCTAACATTGACAATGTTTTAAAAGTTCAAAAGTTATTTACTATTAGAAAAACAAAACATAGCCAGGTGTCTCTCTATTGTAATAAAAAATGTTTAACAAGTTTTGTCTTTCTTATTGTTCTTTTGTTTCAGCATAGCTTAACATGAGATACAATCAAGGAAAAAATTGCTTTAAAATGATCTGTATGACTTTAATACAAACACAACAGCTTTAATGTTTTAGTGTAACGAAATGTTATTATATTTATCAGCTAATATTTAGTATCGCACGATCATTTAGGCCCCTTAAACTATTTTTAAATGCGTATTATGTCAATGTTGAAAACAATAAATATTGTCTTTACCAGTTTTTATTCTCAACTCTACTCTTTCAGTTTACATTCGACATATTTAAGCTATTTCATCAGGAAGTTAAATGCCTCACGCAAATAAAAGGATGCTCGCCATCTCGTTTTCTATAATAGTGAAAATAAAACAAGTTTGCTTCTTTAAAAAGAAGCATGCGAGAGGTCTTTTTGCTGCTGTGGAAAATTTGTTTAATTCGAAAATATTTGGGGATATTTTTGCATAACAGACACAATGAATGTTTATAAATTACAATTATTAAACAAAATAGAATTTATTATATATATTGCAATGAAAGTTTGTTTTACATTTCATCTTTGTTAATGTTTTAAAATATTATATGCCGGAGAAATGGACTTTTTTCTTGGCACATTAGGGATACTTTTTCTACAAAAAAAATTTGTAAAATTACTTAATGTAAATTAAATGATATATATCATTTACATTTGTATTTTAAATTCAGTTCCCTTTGTAGAAAAAATATATATATATTAAAAGTATTTTCAAAATAAAAGTTTCTTGTAAAGTTCAATAAGCAAATTTTCGGTCACTGTTTTGTTAAATATAAGGAAGCATTTCCTCTACATTTTCCAAAACGAGTATAAAGTATGTTAATCAAACAAGTTTACATAAAAAATGTTGATATCATTTGATTGGAATAAACAGTAAATACTGTTATATACTGTTATACTGTTATATACTGTTTATTGGAATAAACAGTATATAAAGCTGCATGCCTCCAACCACAATATTAGAAGAAAATCAAACTTGAGATAAAATTTGTGCCATTTGCGCCAAAAAATCTCCCTTTGCGTTATTTAGATATACCGGTTCAATACACGGTTCACTCGGTCATATAATATGTTTGTTTGTTTCATTGTACGCCTTTTCCCAACAGTATTTTAGACATATAGGCGGGTAGTTTCCTAATCATCGTTCCTGGAGAGTTACACCAGTACTAGACAACCTTCCTCCGCGCTAAACTAACAAAAAAAAGCATCTCCCGGGGATCGAACCCACGCCAGAGAGTTTGCTGGATTATAAGTCATCGGACCACGGAGGCGGTATATATAGAGTATGGTGATATTGTAGCTATAATGTTCACTGTAACTCTTTATCAGAACATGAAATAGTAAAACGTTATTCAGAAAACAATACGGTAATCGATTTATACAGTTACGGAATGAAGCATCCATGCACGTAGTGTTAAGTAACGTAAATGATATTTTCCGATTTTTCTATGTACCGATTTGTTCACTTCGATGTTAATTTTTCGTTTAAGTTAAGCCGTGTTTTGAAACGGGGCATACGCAAAACAATTTTTGTAGACTGCTCCTAATGATTTGACGCTTAAAATGAGATTCATTCACTGCAATCAGATACGCAAAAATGAATGTCGCCAGCAATTAGTCTGAACACTATGGAGAGGTCTGATGACCTCTCCAATAAGTGAGACGTACATGAATTGTCTTATATTGCTATACATTGTTCTCTATGTTTTAAATATGTATATAATAAAGAATATATATATGTCATTGTTTGCAGAAGTATGCAACTTATTTCTATACACAATAAAATAATGCAGTTGAAACATCTTTCTGTAGTGATTTATTTTGTAAATACATGTATTCATATTTACGGTCAAATAAACAGAAGTTGGGTTCGGTTTGTAACGATAGTTAACACATAATATACTGACTTATAGCTACAACGTAAATTCCATATAGCTAGTTCCCTTGCATTTGGCTGCAAACTCCAAGTTGCAGACAAGATCTTAATTTTGCATATAGAACTAGATGTAAAAAATGAAATAAATGTTAAGTTTTCACTGATTTTGATTCTTCTGAAAAAAAAATTGTAATATATTGGACAATTTCTTATCATTATTTTGATTTTAACAAGGTTAATTAGCATTATAACATTGATTCTTTAAAGCTTAACTCTATTTGAAAAAAAAGAGAACATTCCAAAGAAATTGTTCATATGATATTTTTACATTGTGTACGTCACTCCGTGTTTCTGTTGAAAGGCCGAATATTTTGTTTTCTGAGTTTAAAAGTCTCATCTTTCGCATATCATTTTGATATTTTATTTTTTCGAAACTCTTCTTTTTATACGCCCGTGCCTATTGGCGTCTCGGTAGGTACGCCACTGTCTTGGCAATATTAATAATGTTAGGAAAATAATGATAGTGTTCTTGGTGATTATAATGTTAGTAAAATGATGATGTTCTTGGTGATAATAATGTTAGTAAAAACTGATGATGGTCTTGGTGATGATAATAATGTTATTCAAATGATGATGTTCTTGGTGATAATAATGTAAGTAAAAACTGATGATGGTCTTGGTGATAATAATGTAGGTAAAAATGATGACGTTCTTGGTGATAATAATGTAAGTAAAATAATGATGTTCTTGGTGATAATAATGTTAGTGAATATGATGATGGCGTTCATGATAATAATGTTAGTAAAATGATGATGGCGTTCATGATAATAATGTTAGTAAAAATGATGATGTTCTTGCTGATAATAATATCAGTAAAAATGATGATGTTCTTGGTGATAATAATATCAGTAAAAATAATGATGTTCTTGGTGATAATAATGTTAGTAAAATGATGGTGTTCTTGGTGATAATAATGTAAGTAAAAATGATGATGGCGTTCATGATAATAATGTTAGTAAAAATGATGATGTTCTTGGTGATAATAATGTTAGTAAAAAGGATGGTGTTCTTGGTGATAATAATGTTAGTAAAAATGATGATGGCGTTCATGATAATAATGTTAGTAAAAATGATGATGGTCTTGGTGATGATAAAAATGTTAGTAAAAATGATGATGGTCTTGGTGATATAAAAATGTTAGTAAAAATGATGATGGTCTTGGTGATAATAAAAATGTTAGTAAAAATGATGATGGTCTTGGTGATAATAAAAATGTTAGTAAAAATGATGATGGTCTTGGTGATGATAAAAATGTTAGTAAAAATGATGATGGTCTTGGTGATATAATAATTTTAGTAAAAATGATGATGGTCTTGGTGATGATAATAATGTTATTCAAATGATGATGGTCTTGGTGATAATAATGTTAGTAAAAACTGATGATGGTCTTGGTGATAATAATAATGTTAGTAAAAATGATGATGTTCTTGGTGATAATAATGTTATTAAAATGATGGTGTTCTTGGTGATATTAATGTTAGTAAAAATGATGATGGCGTTCATGATAATAATGGTAGTAAAATGATGATGTTTTTAATGATTATAATGATAAGATAAAATGATGATGGTGTTTATGATGATACTATTAGTATAAAATGATGATCGTGTTAGTGATGATTATAATGATTATCGATGGTAGTGGTCTAATGATAATTATGATAATGATAATAATTATAAGAAATGATGAATACGATGATGATTGTGGTGATGATGATGTAGATGATGGTTATGATAATTGTGATAATTGTGTAAGTGATGATAATGAATGATGATGGTTATGATAGTATTTATAATGATGATGGCGATGATGTTGGTTATAATAATGATGATTGGTGTAATGTTGATGATGATAGTATTGATTTTGATGGTATTGATGCTGATGATGGTAATGGTGGTTGTATTGAACATGACTATGGAGAAAAACTGTATTTTGTTTAAAACTTTATATTATATTTCATATTCACAGTGTGGCATGTTTCGATGCATTCCATATTAAAAAGTCTCACGCGCTTCTAAGAACCTACAGGTGAACAAAATGTTTGTAAACATATGGCGACAATTTCGTGACCAAGTATGATTATCTTTTTACGCATCTGAACATTTTAAAGATGCAATGAAGATGTGTCAGTAAAAAATAGAGTGTCTAGATAGAAAATTCTGATTGTTTTTAGACAAAAAAAACCCCAAAACAAACTAACATAAACCATAAGGAAGAAAAAAAAATCCTACTGGACAATCTGTCTACTTTTCATTTGATGGCATCTCAGCCATACAAAGTCTGAATGAAGGTGTAGTCATTGATACCAGGATGTCCCATTCCTGAGTATAAGAGCAAAGTGTTGAACTATCAAAGAATTATATTATATTGGGATGCTTCTACTGTGTAAGTATTATTTGTACATTAAATTATAGATTTCATATTTGTTTGATAATAATAATAATAATAATAATAATAATAATACAGGTAATGATGATTATGATGATGATGATAATGATGATGAAGAAAAATGTCCTGTTGATTAATCTTTATTGGTGTGTTTAAAGTCCTCATATCGCATTGGTCCACAACGGCACATTTTCCATAAGACTTTATACAATATTGACAAAGACAATAGAAAGGTATCATTGGATATTCTTTTAAAATATTTCTTTTTAAAAATGTTGATATACGTTCTAAGTGATTTCGTATAAGCGTGTATATGGTGAAAATATTATTTTGTTCTAGAATAACTTAGATATCAAGTTTCAAGTTTTATTGAATATATATTCCAGTTTGCATTACAATACAAAAACATGAGACAAATACATTTGTATAATAATAAATAATAATAAACAGTCACGTGAACATGTGAGGGCAACACTGTATGAATATTTTACATGTAAATATATATTTATTAGTTAAGACGTATCCATAATGACCTAATGTAATCTACAAGAAAAAGAAAGGGAAAAAAATAATCTTCCGAAATGAGTAATGCCTAACTGTGTCTGCTTGATTGTTATTGTTCGGTGTTTAATCTATTTTTGTCAATTATCTAATTGATGTATTTTTGACTGGTCAATTTTGGCCGTCAATGACACGCGTTTTGTGTTTGTGTAAATATCCGTGTTACCTGGTTACTGGGTCAGACAAATTGTGTCATAAAAATTGCAAGAAAATCATTCATGTTTAACGGATATTAGCACGAGGGCTAGACTTGTTTGTTTTGAGGAAAGTTGTGTTAATGCTATTTAAATAATCATATTTGTGCTTAGAAGAGAGAAATATTAGTCATAATGTGTAAATGATATAAACGGATCATGTACCAACTTTTTCCATAATTAGCTACATGTCTATGATTCTTTCGTGTTCTGTTTTCACAGGTTAAAGTAAACTAAACACTATCAACATAATTATTCACGATATAACCGCGGATTTAACTACTTTAATTACAATAAAAGACGTGGTGTGGACCAGTTCACTTTGCGATTGATTAATTTTTAATTGCAATATCATATAGATAACATTTACCTTGTATACATTTTTTTGTACAATAATACAATAATATTAATAATATTAATGAATGTGAAAGATTCAAGCTAAAAGCATTGATTGTTGCAGTTAGATGAAATAAATACAGAAATAAAATCAACTTTTGCAAATTTAAATAAAAGAAAACAAAATTATTAACTCTTATAAATAATGGTTTTAGCAAACAAATGTGGAGACTTTTTATCATCATATTGAGAACTTAATAAAAAATAATCTTAACACATCGGCTAACATATTATAAAAGTAATAACACATGTATAATAGCCGATATGACTGTTCAAAGCTCTTTACAAACACGCAAATGTGAAGGTATTACGACAGGTTTCCAACTCTTTCTTTAAGTATAACTTTTAAGTCGATGGTATTAATAGTGAATAAGTTTAAACAATTTTATTTGTAATATTTTCATTTACATAATAAAGAATATAAGTTTATTTTTATGGATTGAATAGGAATCTTAAAATCTCCAAGAAATGATCTAGCAAGGGTTTGTCAGATTGGTTGATTGGTTGCGGTACGATTATGGGATTAAGAACACATTTCTTTCTGTTTTAAGGAATGATTACGAGGAACACGTGTCTGATTAGCTATATTCAATAACCGATTTAAAGCCGAATTAAAACCAAGCCCGGTTTGTGATAAGGACCCGACTTGACGCTAGACGATGAAAGGACACGCAACTTTTATATACTTTGCGATAATTCTTCTACGTAAGTATCATTTTCTAATTTTGTAGTCCTAGCTTAGGGATCTGCTCCAGTCTGTAAAATATTGATAAATAATAAAATTATTTTCAATAAAGAAATAGATAGTTGTAAACATATAATACAAAAATGTCTAGATTGAACTAAGGAAAACAGATAATTTCAACAATTCTATATATATTCAAAATCAGCAATGAGGTTGATGTAACGATTAAATAACTCAATTCAACTTTTAATGGACTTTGGGAAACATACGGATTTAACAGTTATACATCAATCCTTTAATTGTAGCGTCAGAAACTACATTTTCTTTAATCTATGTTTTAAATTTCAGTGATCATAGACTCTTCCAGATCAGTAGAACACTACAGTTTGAGTTATAATTACTTCGATGAGATAGCTCAGTCTTACTGTGCTTCGAGATATTCTGAATGGGTGTTTGCAATTAGGAGAGATTGTGCTAATGCACCGACATGTCAGGATATGTGTGCAGCTGCTAAAAACTATTCTAGAAATTATCAATAATCAACGGAAGAGGTTAGAAATATAATATTATAAAATTCTGTTTTGAAGTTACCTGCAATTCGAAAATGCGGTAAAATGCAGATAAACATTTTTTTTTTCAAATTTTTTATGACGATGATGATGACTAATGATATCGATGGCTGACATTATAGAAATGACAATTGCAATGATGATGATGATGATGAGGATGTTAAGGTAGACCATGGCTAATGCATTACCTTCACTTTGAAGAGTATTCAAATAGGCTAGAATCACTTGCCAACTACATTGAAATTGAGAGGCGTGGGTTCAAACCCCAGAAGGGGTAACTTTTTTTTTCTTTTTTAACATCATTTATGTATCTCTCTGGTCCATTATTGAAGAAAAAAGGGTTTGATTTTAATTATATAATTTTTGTAGGTATTAATTTGCTAAATAATGCCAAAATTTATAGCAAATATGATAAAAGATATTTTCAAAATTTAATAAAATAAAAACTACACGGTAAAAGTATTTTATATTTCGCATGATCATACAATATACCTTTAAGAAAATTTAGGGAAATTTTGAAAACAGCCCCTCATTATGGTAAATTTTAGGGATATTTTGAATAAGACATTTTAGATAGGGAAATGGTAAAAGTTAGTGTTTAAAGTGGGTTGGGTAGGGTAACATTTTTATACATATTAAGAACATTTTGTTTAGAAACAAACATTTTGCTTGTGTAATTTGTTATCTGAATGTTATTATTTGTTTCTTAAAAATGAGCAATAGAAAAACATTTTATAATGATGATATTACAGATTATTTAAAGTTTCCTCATTTCTGAAAATAAGCCCTTCTAATGGCAAAGTCTTAGTCCAGAAATATATCCATAACTCATAAACCACACGGTAAATTTTATTTAAATTTTGCACACAGGTGACCTTGAGGACATATAACTGTCCCCTGTTGTCAATTTTACAGTTTCTTATGGTGCCCATTACCCATGGTCTACCTAAATACCATAAAAATAATTTTGATGATGATGATTGTGGTGGGCATTAAAATGATGTCTGCGGCAGTAATGATCATATGATAAAAATGGCAGTACTGATGATTATGGTTGTAGTGACGATGATAATGGTAATGGTGTTGAAGATGATAGGTTTGATTATGAAGATGATGTTTGTGGTTGATGATGACGATCTTGGCGATTGTGATTACGATGATGATAATAGTAATGCTAATGATACTAATAATTATGTTGCTGCTGATTACGATAATTATGACGAAGATAATGATAAAGAAATAGCAGATAATAGTTTTTAACAACTTCTTTATTTCCATAATATCTTCACAGAGTGACATGTTACGATGCATTGCACATGATAAAGATACATACCCCTCTAAAAGCAAACCCTGGAATTGAACAACCTGATTCTGGAAAAGTTAATCTAGGTTCAACAGGATACGGCTCTAGAGGATGTACATGGAGAGCAAATCACTGCGGACCTAACTACTGTTGCTGTAAAGCGTATTAATCAATTAATGCACGACACATTTAATAGACATTATTACATGTATTTACACAGAAGACATGTCTCGTGCGATAAATCTTATGGTTCACTTTTTAGTTGTTTTTTAAAATCAAAATTTAGATAGTAAAAGTTAAGCTTTTCACCCTTCACAACCAAATATAAACATCTTACTTTTGAATATAGGTAGAGTACACCCAAAATGTGTTACATAACCCCATTTGGCATGTTTTCCTTATTGCTAAAATGATGTCATTATGTCACACTGTATGGCAAAATACAACTGCATTATTAACTCAAAAATAAAGTGCTTCGGCGAGAGAAGGAGAGGCTTTTGAAATAAATTTACATCCCTTATTAATAGCATGAGCCATGGCAATGCGTTCATTCACTAAATCAGCGTCACTTCCTACAAGTGCATTAATAATATTTACCTGCTCCCTATTAGTATTTATTCTTAATAGCATTGCATACACACCGGTCTCTATCGACCTGTGTCGTACGACGTGACTAAGAATTTTCTACTGTTACATAGGTAACAGTACTTTTTAACACTATAAAATCTGGTCACGTGGTCTATTTTCTAAATAAAAAGAAATAAAATGGCCGCCATTTTTTCTCGATTCATTCTTATTTTCGATGTTCACCAAGATAGGACATCACTAGAGTAACTATGACATAAAATTTAGTTGTTTGCACCCTGGAGTGCTTTTCGCGTATAAAATATCGTTTTGTTAAATAGTCAAAAGTTAGCATCCGTTTTCAACTGAAGTAATTGCAATGTGAATAATTGTGTGTCAAAATGGAACATGCAGACGATTTAAGTATGCAACAAAGGATTATTTAACAATTTTAATCAGTGAAACGTTACAGATATGGTGGACAGACATAGGATATCATCGTTATTTTATCAAAAACCATGCGAATAATATTCTGGATACAGAAGGATCAGATTTCACAGATCATAACCGTATGAATGGGCTAGTCTTTTGTTTTCTAAATAAAACACAGCTTATTGTATGTTTATGACTAGTAGATATCATTACTTGCTTAAAGATTGAATCTCAAGTAGGCCTAAAGTACACTTAAAACTTAAAAGGTAAAGACAGTTTAGTTATTGTTACTCTTGGTTTATTTTTACAGTTAGATTGTGTTGACAATTTCAGATCATCATAGTATTTTTGTTCGGTGTAATAAAATAAATAACACATGGGTTTGTGAGTAACAGTAAAAATATAATCCCTCGTAAAAATACTGTTACCCTCGGCTACGTCTACGCCTCGGGTAACAGTATTTTCCTCGAGATCATATTTTTACTGTTACCCACAAACCCATGTGTTATTTATATAATAACATCGGACTATATTATTTTACCTGTACTTATGTTATTCTTATGCAAATATGGGAGGCCGAAAGAAACAACAACATGAGAAGGCAATTCATCGCCTCCGGAAAAGTTAAAATACTTTTAAGTCATATTACTGTTTGAAATTTAGATATACTCATGCAATGTAAATACGATTATAATTATGATGAAACCGTTCTAAATTGTTTTTATTGAGAATTAAATTGTTTAGTATTCATTCAAGTTTTTTCTATTAATACAGAATTTATTTTCATCGAGTGGTATGAAATATGACGATTTTCATAACACAAAATGATAATAAATCATACAGGTATTCATAGAAAAACGTGAATTTTCTGTTTATTATATACATTTTTATGCCCCCGGGCATATAGTGATTGAACCGTTCGTCCGTCTGTCCGTCTGTCCGTACGAGGTTAACCTAGAACGGCAAGTTGGATTTTTCTTAAGTTCTACATGTACCAATGGCTTCTAAGTTTACACACTTACTAATCAATACAAAGTACATGATCTGGGCAAGTTACATAACTCTCGCTTTCATATTTACCAAGTTATTGCCCTTTTCAGCACTTAGAAAATGAATAATGGTTAACCTAAAACGGCAAGTTGGAAATATCTTAAGTTCTATCTATACTAATGGCTTTATAATGTCCACACTTACTTATAAATACAAAGTACATGATATTGCCAAGTTTTATATCTGTGTCATTCAATTTTCAGTGTAATTAATGATGATGGAACAGAAATTTCAAATCAGACGGACATTCTCAAAGAAATCTCGGCTTTTTATTCCAAACATTATTCAGCAAACAACATAGAAAATTCAAATGAAACTTTCAAATATTTTATTGACAGCTTAACTTTTCCCAAATTATCAGAAAATGATCCAGCATCTATAGAGGGACCAATAACAAAAAATGAGGCGTCAAATGTTTTAAAAAATATGGCTAACAATAAAAGTCCAGGAACTTCTGGCTTTAATGCAGACTTTTATAAAGTTTTTTGGAACCGTATTGGTATTTTTGTTTGTAGGGCTTTAAATCATGCTTTTTCATCAGGGTCTTTGTCGCTTACGCAAACTCAGGGAATCATCACATGTATTCCGAAAGGAGAAAAATCTAGAAAATATTAAAAAAAACTGGCGACCAATTACTCTGTTAAATTGCGTCTATAAAATAGGATCAGGCTGCATTGCAAATCGTTTAAAGAAATTTTTAGATAAAATAGTTAGTAATGACCAAACAGGCTTTATTAAAGGCAGATTTATAGGCGAAAATACTAGGTTAATCTATGATATTATGAACTACACATAAGAAAAAGATATTCCTGGTTTACTCCTTCTAATAGATTTTGAAAAGGCTTTCGACTCATTATCTTGGAATTTTGTGTTACAAACTTTAACCTTATTTAACTTTGGAAACGATATTAAAAGATGGTTCACTATATTGTATAAAGATAGTGTATCTACAATAAGTCAGTGTGGTTTTCTTTCTGACTTTGTTAAAATTCAAAGGGGCTGTCGTCAAGGAGACCCTTTAAGTTGTTACATTTTTATCTTATGTGCAGAAATATTATCCATAAGAATTATATCAAATGAAAAAATCAAAGGTATTAAAATAAATGGTATTGAACATAAATTATCTCAATTTGCAGACGATACAACTGTTATACTTCATGGCACTGATGAGTCTTTAAATGAAGTCCTAAACACACTTGCAGATTTTTCTTTATTTTCAGGTCTTAAGGTTAATTTTGATAAAACCAAGATTGTTTGGATTGGTAAACTTAAATATAGTACAAATAGCATTAAAACTAAATGGAAATTATCTTAGAACCAGTCTTCTTTTGATATGTTAGGTATAAAATTTCATGTAGAACTTAAGAAAATGGTGACAATTAATTATGATGAAAAAATGAATAAAATGCGGAAAGTATTATCCAATTGGAAACGAAGAAATTTAACTCCAATCGGAAGAATCGTAGTCGTTAAATCTTTATTGTTATCAATATTCACACATTTATTTACAACTCTGCCAAATCCAAGTCCTTATATAATTAAAGACTTAACTGAAACTTTCAGAGATTTTGTCTGGCATGGTCAATGTAAAATTAAGCAAGAGGTCTTTAGACAAAGTATTGATAAAGGTGGTCTAGGAATGATAGACGTTGAAGCATATATTTACTCTTTAAAGATATCTTGGATAAGAAGAATTTTAGTCGATAATGGTAAATGGATAGGTTTGGCATGCTCAATTTTTGATATAGAGAAATTAATTAATTGTGGTATAGGGTATTTAGAAAAGAAAGGTTAGTGAGTTAGTGAGATAAATAATGATTTTTGGAAGGACACTTTGAATGCATATTATATGTTCTGTAAAATTGTAGAAACAAAGGAAAATGAGTTATATTCTCATCCAATTTTCTATAACCCTTTAATAACTATTGGCAATCAACCAGTGTTCTTTAAAAACTTGTTTAATGCAGGTGTACATGTCATAGGTGATCTTTTGAAATCAAATGGACAATTTTATAGCTTAAATGAATTT